AGCTTCAGTTGTCAGCAGCACTTTTCATCCACAGTGTGTACCCATATCATCTGAAGGTGTTGAGGGACCAAATTTGTATGTTTCGCCTTCAGCGCATCTCTCTGAAAGAGTACACCCCGAGAGAGCAGACACAGGTGAAAAGGAACATAATCGAATGGGTACGTGAAGGAAAGTAATACAAGAAATAAACAATAACCTTCTGTGCGCAATACTGAAATTTGATGTAATCAAACTCCTCTCAGGTCCCTCAAGTTTGCTTTTCCAGTTAGATGCACAAAAGCATTTATAAATATTAAATTATATACAAATATTACTCACGTTGTGTACAGTTTCACAGATATTCCTCCCAAAATGTACCTTTCAATCGTGATTGAAATACATTTTTGGTTTTAGCACCTAAAAACGTTATTAAGTGTTTCAAGTTTCATCTTACGGTAGACATGTCCCACCTCAGATCATTTTTTAGGGCACTTTAGAAGTGTGCTTATCAAAAGCTGGCTTTTTTTGGACACCGCTTTGAGATCCTATACCAGCGAGCAGCACAAATACTGGCGACACACACAAGCCTGCCTTTCGGTTTTGTGCAACTCAGGGAAACGTTTCTAGCATCCATTAGCACTTGCAACTGGAAATGGCAAGGCACTTTGAAATTGAGCTGGAAAAAGGCTATGTTTCAAGTTGATTTGTGGTTGTGTAGGGGTGATATGGGTGGAAGTTTTCAGCCACAAGGCAGCATGGTTGGTTCAAAGCATCCGCTCGGTTTGTTTTATCTCTGTTGATGTGACACAAATGGCACGATGTCCAGTTTAGGTTTCCGGTGCTCTTAAACCACATTGAGCTCAGTGGAGTCTGTTTCTGAGTCAATCTCATTTTCTCTGAAAAGGAGTCACACAGGAAACAGTTAGCCTAAATATAGATTTTTTTAAATTACAAGAATGCCGTTTAATCAGCTTTAGAGGTTTAAAAGTACCGTGTTAATTTATAGATTTCAAGAATGTTGAGCAGGCTTAACATCTTTAAGCAAAACATGCGACTGGAAGACTGTTAAAATCAATAGGTGACTTTACCGTTGTTCATTAAGTAGTTTGCGGTTGCCTTGTCTCTTTTCCTCGTTGATTGGATATGAGATGAATATTAGCAGCCCAATAATGATCAAGACTATCGGAGCAGGAGATACCAGGATCTTCAAGGTTAAATCGACTTCGGCGGGTTGCGTGCAACCTCTCGTCACATAGCCAGCAAAACTGTTTGAAAGAGAAGAAACGAGAGATTAATATGTTATTAACGTTCATCCAGATAAATCCAACCTCATGACTGATCACTGAATTTCACATTAAAACACTATCCTACATGGTCATGTCTACAAACCCAAAAGACCCATAAGAGCAGCGCTAATCGCATTATATCTGAAGGTCAGGAGGCCAGACTGATTCTCATACAGTAAAAGTAAAACAAAAGGCCGGGCTTATTGGATCATGCAGACTATAATCCAACTTTAAGAGCCGGTATTTCGTGTACAAGACCGTAAAACTTACTCAAGACTAAGAGTTGAGACCCCCAAGGAAACTCCAGATGCAAACTTGGTGAAGAACACATAGAAGGAGTAGAAGATGGCTTCATGGCCTTGAGATTCAGGATTTTGAACTTTAAAATCATCCACAACGTCGGGGAGCATGGACCTGAGCATACAGGAAAACGCACTCCATGAAATAAGTGCACCAAATCTGGAAGTGCATATACATTTGTACAATTGTCAGGTGCTTACCATGGCAGAAGGAAGGCCGCTGCAACACTGACTCCAGCGGCAAAGGACACAATGTATGTCACAATAAGATTGCTTGGCACCAAGATGACGGAGACCAGGAAAGGCACCACAGACTGCAAAGAGAATATAAACCATCAGTAACAGGAATCAAAAACCTCAATTACAGTAGATGACAGACCAGAAGAAGCCGCTGTTTGGTCAGTTAGTGGAATTAATTGAAGGGTTGTGTGCCGCTGCCAATACTTACTGTAGTCCCAATATACACGGCAGTCTTCTTGCCAAATTTAGTGAGGAACCACTGCCAAAATGGGATAGCAAGCGTGGCGGAGAGCTGAAATAGAGGAAATTAAAATAGGATTGGCTCAAAGACGACTAAGTGTGCAGGTTTAAAAAGAGTTTTCGTTTTTGTCTATATGTTGGTCACGCCGCATGGTGATGATTTGAAAGACAAAATTTTTTCAAATATAAATTTTTTTTTGATGATCAATGCCTATAGAGAGATCTGTCTGTAATACAGAAAAAGCACTGCACTGCGAGATGGTTTTCGTGACTGATAATGCGTGCAAACGGCATTAGCTAAGATTAGGTTTCTGACAAAGAATTGAACCTGTCTGTGTTCACACCCGTTCCCATTAATAAGAATGCTTCCTAACACACCTTCCCGACAACAATACTGGAATGTTTTGTATCATATCTAGGACAATGCCTGAAAACGTTCTATTCATGCATCTGCAGTTATAGTTCCCTGAACAAGGGTTATTGTAGTTTGAAGAAAAAAAGTCAGCAGACTGGGTTTTAAATGACTACAATAATACTCTCTTATTGAACATGAATTCTTAAAGGAATCTGGGTTTTGAACAACTTTGTCTTCCTTAAACAATAATCTAGTTGTTGATTGACAACTTTTCTGCGATACTAAAGCATTTCATGGGTAAAAGCAATGAGTTGTGGGTTGGATAAGGTGCAATATATTTCTGGAAACACTAGTCCAGGGTTCCTCAAATCTTGCTCTGGAGGGCCAATGCGCTGCAGAGATTAGCTGCAACCCTGATCAAACTCACCTACCTGTGATTTTCTAATGATCCTGAAGACATTGATTAGCATGCTCAGGTGTGTTTGATTAGGGTTAGAGCTAAACTCTGCAGGAAAGTGGATCTTGTGGGCCAGATTTGAGGATCCCTGCACTAGTCTGTTCAGATGATCAGCCCAAATGTATTATGTAACCCATTAAGTACTTTCCTTTTGTACATTTTGTTCAAAATGTCATTGTCAGTCACTCCATAATGAAACCTCACCTATCTTTACAGACCATACAGAGTCATATAGTCTTTTAGTATTCAAAAAGCCCATTTAAAATACATTTATAATTTAAAACAAAAAAAGAGACATTTAGTTTGCTTACCATAATGACGAGAAGGATGTTTTGGAAGTCGTTTCTAAAGCCAAGGGTGTAGCTACAAAACAGTGCAAAGTTTCCTTCCAGAAGCTGCAATAAATGTTTATAGAAATAATAAGCTGCACAGTAAAGACACATTACCAAAACCTAACAAATAAAGCGATCGCCAAAGGCAACAGTGCTCGTCCATGGCGGTCACAGCTTAGACAACCCAAACGGCTGGTGGTGACCATAGCTTAACATGAAATGAGTGTATCATTTGTATAAGAACTCACCATAAAAGCCAGAGAGGTGAAGAGGAAGCCCATGACCAGCTTGGCATAGGGACCGTGGCCCATCACCATACGAATGCCCTGAAAGAATGACATGGGCTCAGTCCTAACCCTGCAGGTCTCTGTCAAAAAGAAGAGAGAGGCAAGATGAGATGATGGAAACAAATGACAATTAATGGTGCTACATTAAAAGTAATAAATATCAGAGCAGTGGGGAAGAGACTAGCTTGCTGTAAGATTTTTTTTTCCCCCACCAATTTTCAGGTGTTGACTTTCTAAAAAATCAAAATGAAGGAAATTGCTGCACACAACCGTATACATTTTGATTAGCTGCCGAAATGCATTGCATTGCATGACAAAGAATCTGCCAAAAAGTATGTTGTTTAATTGCTCGTACACTTTCATTTCTAAGCGTTGAGCATGAAAAATCCACAAATGAGGTGTGACGATGAGCCAGTACTGTGCTTGATTTTCCTTACAACAGACTACTGAGGTCTGCATGTTAAGTCTCAATATTTGGGTTCAAAATGAACTACTCTAGAGAACACCATTTACCATGAGCCCCATTTAGACAGCCCTCTCTGTGAAAGCTAATCACCCTGCTAAGCTTATACACTGGCATTTCCCTGCGGCCAGCTGAGCTCAGCTTGTGGGCCAACTACTGACTCAAAGAAACTCGAGCTGTGTGGAAAAACCCGGATACATCTGCAAGCAACCACATGAGATTTACAGTGTACACACTTTTCTCACTGAAACAGAACGTTTGGGCGAGAGATAGTGAATGGATCATTTCCCTGTTTTAAGACAGCCAATAGGCTTTAGTTACATCACAGCCATGAACTACGATTTGCTGTTTCAGTTCAGTTCAGTCGTCAGTTTCAGATGTAGGGACTCGTTTTGGAGAGCATTGGATTGGACAAAAATCAGTGTTGTGCAGCATGTGTCATCACAATTTTGTTAAATTTCCAGCATTTATACTTGCATGAATTTTAAATGTGTATTTCTAGAGAAGTTTAATCTTTTTACCAGCATATTAGAAGACCTAACAGCTAACCGCTTAAAAGCATAAAATTATGATATCATAAGGTCTTTAAGAAAGAAGCTATACTACCGTTCAAAAGTCTGGGGTCAGTAAGATTTTTTTTAAACACACTTACAATGTTGCAAAAGATTCTATTTCAAATATAGAGACGGTTCTTTTGAACTTTCTATTCAATTGAAAGAAAAAGGGTAATGTATCAGTTTCCACAAAATATTAAGCAGCACAACTGTTTTCTACATCAAATCAGCATATTAGAGAGATTTCTGAAGGATCATGTGACACTTAAGACTGGATTAATGATGCTGAAAATTCAGCTTTGCATCACAGGAATAAATTACAATTTAAAATATTTTCAAATAGAAAACAGTTATTTTATATTATAATAATATTTTACAACATTACAATTTTTACTTTATTTTTGACCAAATAAATGCAGCATTGGTGAGCATAACAGACTCCGACCCCAAATTTTTTAACAGAAGTGCAAGTTTAATTACATACAATTTCATTTGTAATAATGTGTCTTTGCGGTATTAGTAACGCTTACCTTTTTGTTCTTTCACACCAAGGAACAAGACCATGGCACAGACGACATAAATGGAGCAGATGACACCAGATGCGATCATGTAAGCATTTCTCTGTGGGAACCATATGATACCAGGCATTTAACACCAGTATAGCAAGAATTTTAATTTAATCAAACTTAAAAGAAAAAAATCCTTACCAGATGCTCCAGTGAAGCATGAGGTCCAGTGATGTTGACCGTGGAAGCCGCCAGCAGATCTGTGGAGTTCAACTCCTCACCGGTGCTGATACAAGGAGCGTTAGCCATTCCCACAATCTGTCCTTGAACAGCAGTGCCAATGAGCGTGCCCAAAACCTCAACAGTCATTCCTGAGATAAGAGATGAGCAGTTAGCTGTGAAATTCAAAACAGTGGACATATCTAGCTGGAGATGCATTGAAACTCACGGTAGGCTGTGGCCGAATCCCTCTCCTTCTGCTCCGTGCTGATAAACATGGTAAGTGCAGAATACGGTACGTGGAAGCACTGTTTTTTGGGAAAAAGTCAAAGCCAACGGTTAAATGAAATTATGAGGAATACAGGCTACAATTTGTGGTCATAAAAAGAGGGTTACTCACTGTCTGTAATGTTTGGAAGGAGCAGTAGAAGATCAGGTACCAAACAATCCTGCCTTGCTCAACAGATGGCACGTACCAGATGAGGAAATAGCATAGCACGGCAAATGGGGTAGACAGCAAAATCCTGCATGGAAAAGATATGAGATTAGAAGAAAGGTACAAAAGGTAAAAAATTAAGTATAACTAGATTGGTATTCTGGTTCCCCATGATGATAAACGGGTTTGGGATCAGGTACATATAGATGAAGTTTACTAGGTGTTATATCATTGAACCTTGTCAAGCACCAAACCTGTCTTTTCTGTTCCCTCTCTTCTTTAACTAGAGATGATGAGAGATGAGATAACTTCCTGTATTTGTTCAGTGACCATTGTGGCCAACAGGATGCTGTAGTGTAAGTACAAGTCTGCTCTTAATCTGAAGCATCTGTACAAGGAAATACCATTTCAGGTGCGTTACACGTCATAGAACTGAATGGTTTATGGAAAAATTTCCACTAATTTAGGCAGAAAGTAATTGTTTGTATTCAGTCAGTACGTTCCACGCCCCTCTCCACCCCCTTTCTGTTTGTTTATTAAATATTCTGGCTAATTCAATAATGCTTTGCATGCATTAAACAAATAAATATTTGTCTATACAAACCTAATAGAACATAAAGGTAGGACTGAGCTTGCTTGATTGAGGGTTATTGAAGTGCATTTTAAATCACCTGATCTGACGGGAATATCCTGGGAACTAAAAACTACAAAACTCCTTTGACAGCCGTTTTGACCTATATTACACTACCATATTTTATCCCACTATTATACTAGGGTATAATACTATTATACAATATAATCTCTTCACTCTATTAAAACATATTTGTTATGAAAATAAATTGCATATATTTTAGATTTATCAACAGTTTCTTGTATCTGTTTGTAATTTGAATTAAAATATTAAATCAGAGCAAGAAAAAGCCCTGACTGCACAAATGTGCACATGTGTAGCAAAAAGGTGCAACTAGTTAACAGTTCAAAATAGTAACAAATCTCACTCTACCAGCAAGGCTGCCATTTGAACTAAAATAACCCCAGTATGCTGGCTTTAGACTTGTAGCAGATGTGGTCTGCCTCCCTCTCACTCTGATTGGATGACAGAGGTGGTGTGTTGTGGGTTGGACTACTCAAGAGCTTCCGCATTTTGCATACACCCCCCAACCCCCAAGGCATGCAGCACGAAAAAAGGGGAGTCTTCCTTCTGAGCCCGGCAGAACAAGACAAATGTTGTGTTATTTATGCCATTTGCGGAATTCAATCCACACAACATGAGTCGCTTATAGACAGAAAATATCCCATGGATTACAGAAGATCAGAGACGCTCTTATCCCTTCTGACTCTGATTGTCTTTTTATGGTTTATGTTGCCTTGAAAATTATTTACGGTTTATGAAAGATTATCACGTGTTCAAATATTGACATTTTCTTTACAGTTACCCAGTATTTCAGCTCATGTCATTTACTAATTTACCATTGAAAATGGGTCTAACCTTTGCAATGAATTCCCTTTCAGGATTATGATAGCATAACTCGCTTGTGACTATTAATATTGCATGTGATCAAGCATCGTGAAAATTTTATTATACAGGCTTATGGTCCATATGTTTCTCCACGGGGATAGTTAGGGGAGAAAAAAGTCCCCTCTCTCCCTCATATACCCATAACTACACCCACAAACCTGTCTCATGTGCTCCCAAGTGACATCACAGCACAAATCTGGGCGTCACTAGGGATCTTGTAATCACACCTCCCTGAGAGGATACAACCGTCTTGCTCAGATCCAGCGTCACTGAAATGAGCTCATTAGGGCAGAACGTTCTCACCAGCTTCCTACCAGATTCCTTCACATGCCCCGTGTCCAGTTAGAAAGCAGACGCACACCCCCCCCCCCCGTTCCCATCACTTCCTCGTTGTGGTTTCCCAATTATTCATACAAATAGTGACCTCGTACTTCTGAGGACTTGAAGAAGTGTAGCCACCACAGCACTCTTCAAACCAACCATCATTTGGAAAATAAGACTGAGAAAGTAAACCTTGTACAGGTGCTTTTGATGTTAGCCTGATCGCCTATTTTCTGAGGCTGAGAACACCAGCTAAGAAATGTTAAACTGGTTATTTGCTTCATTTGTGTCAAAACCCAATAAGACTTTTTCATCAATCCCGAAAGCCTTCATTGTGTAGAGAACCACACAAGCATTCTCTAAAGCAGACACCTCCATCGCCGCGGGCATCACTGTCACTACAGATAACGCTTGTGTGATCGCAGGGTTAAGGGTCACTAGCCGCAAAGTTTCCATTTTTCAGTTTTATGTTGTGGGAAAGAGCTGTTCATCAGACAAAGGATGTGCTGAATCTTCAGAAAAACACTGGTCACCAAGCCCAGGGGGTCAAACTAAATGCAGTATTAGTTATTAAATTTCTATTCATTTTCTATGAGGTTTGCAGTTTTTGCAATCAAATTACCAACATTCAGTGCATATGGTCTAAATATAGTGATTTGGTTTTTGCTAGAAGTAATATTTAACCTAATGAAAAATAAAACTACACCACAGTGAGTAAGTTTAAATTTAACTTAAATTATGGCGTCACTCGGTAGCTAGTTTTGGACCAAATGTTGTTTACTTAAGCATATTTGCCTCCATATAGCATCAGCAACACTAGTTAAGAAAGAGAACCATTTAACTTGCATATAATTTGTTGTTGCTGAATGGCAAGCATTTCTTGTTGACATGACACGGATTAAGTGGTTTACTTATGCATGTGATGTAGAAATCAGACCGGCTGGCTGAAAATGCAAATTGGCCGAAGGCAAAGCTACTGTGGTGTATCCAGCCCCCCGCCCATCACACCCCTCAACCCCCCATGAGAGTTCAGGGGACTTCACTTAACCCACAAGCGTCCTCTGACTTAGAAACATCACCAGATACACTTGGCTGTCTCACTTAAAGACTACACCTCCTGACATTTCACAATGACAGAGAAATGGGTCAGAAAACAAAGCAAGTGACGGAGCAGAGAGATTCAATTGGACCACATTTTAAATGGAACAGAGGAGTTAGTGGAGGGTAGAATTGTAAAACTAATCAAGTAGACAGTTACTACAGGCAACTTGCTCCTTAAACAAGACAATTCTGAGTCTTGTTCAATGTTTAATGTGAAAGATTGCTCAGGAGAGTAAAGCACTGGATTACTAGACAGTAAAGCATTGGAGAAATCCAGTGAAACTGCAGGTGAAGAAAGACTTACCAGGGCATCATTCGTCCAAATCTGGTCCAGGGACTCCGGCTGACTAGAAAGCCCACCGTAGGGTCTGTGATGGCATCCCATGCTCGACCCACAAACAAGATGATGGAGGCATAAAATGGGTCCAACTATCAAGAAAAGAGAAAGACCAGCATGTCATCATCTTACCTAAAACACACATCACAGGTTGAGCGTTTTCCAAAAACTTTTATTCAGCATCAGAATGGACTAAATAACTCAAACCAATAGATGAAATACCAACATGAAAAAAGTGAAAAGAAAGAGAAGTAAACTTTTTAAAACAGTAAAAAGTTCTGCTTAATATTACTTATTTATATTGGTGATAAAGAAAAAATACTCACCACAACATATCAGTTGCAGATATGACTTCACACGATAAATTTACAAATATTTATACCATTTAGAAGACTAGGCAGCATGTAAACTACAACTACTTTTTACAGAGATCAGGAGGAGCAGCACATGAGGCCTGCTCAATGACCTTGAGATACATGAGATCATACACCACATGACAGGCAAATGGAGTTACTCAGTTGAAACAGTTTTACTTCCAGTACAACACACTTGTTAAACTTCTGGAGGACTCTGAATTGTTGCACAGATTGAGTGCTTCATGCTGACATTGTGTATTGTAGGAATAACTGTTAATTATGGGATTAAACACATTAGCAGAACTCACACTGGGAACCTGTCTTCTGTAGTCAGTGGTTACATGATAAACACTGAAGGCTATTAGAACAATCCTATTCAGACTCTTTAATCTGGCCAATCAGCCTGCCAAGATTACAGTAGCTCCCCAAAAGTTAATGGCATGAAAGACCTTTGCATATCTATTCATTTTCCAGTACAAATTTCCCTTTTGTGACTGTACTTGTTGCCTCTGACTATGTGAGCAGAGGGAGTAAAGAAACCCGCTGCCCTCTGAGGATCGCAATCAGATTCTACATTCAATCTGATCAGTCAATCTGATCTTCACTTTCCACGAATTCAAAATAGGACAAGATTTTGAAAAGACGGTTAGTATGAGGAAGTTCTTGTTCACAAAAATGGCATCCTTCGGAGGTTGAACTAAATATTACATGGGTAATAAAAATATACGTTTTGTTTTCTATCCATTTTCCATGAGGTTTGTCTTTGACGAATGCACCCAAAGCAACAATATTCATAAAATTTCAGATTATTCACTCATCTTCCATCTTAATATTGTGCCTTGGTCATTAACATTAGTTTATAATTGATTTTATTTTTAATTCAGTGACTTCAATTCAACAGAAATTGATTGATTTAAATTATTGTATACAGTCGAGATCATCAAGACCTCTGAGGCGACACAGGTCCAAATTATTTGCTGTGAAATTTTGTGTTTAAAACTGCTTATGTGTTATTCTAGATTAATTTTATGCTATATAATAACTTGTTGAATGTATGGTTTTTACACACACAAAAAAGTAATGGGACACCAAGTGTACCACATTCATGGAAAGTGCCATAAAAAGGTTAAGCACAGACAGTCAATTAAAATTAAAATTCATAGTATGATGAATCAGTTGATTGATCCATATGATTAAGATGTTATTAGTAAAAATCAATCACACAGTTTCACTCACCAAAGCAACGTCCAGCAGGTAGATCTGAAGGAAGAAGCCGATTGCACATCCCGTTATCTGATATGGTGCTCCTCCAATGGCATAACACAACTTGTTGCATACTGACAACCGGCTCCTTGATTCACACTATTAAAAAAAGAAAAAAAAGGAAGAAACAAGATATGCATTAAGACATTCATAAAAAGACACACCAAATAATTAATAATATAGTACAGATGCTAAAGTCATACTGAGTTCACAGTGTCTCAGCAGGGATTCAAACTAACCTAACTGTAGTGTAAATAAGCACACGGTGGCCAGACACGCTTGTAATTTGGCTTAAGCTGTTGAATGGCTAGGATTTCCACTCTGAGACAAGCGCTGGTTTTAATTATGCTAACAATATGCATTTCTGCTTGACTTGCTGTTTGGTTCTAATTCAAACATAACCTTATTCTCAATACAGCTGGCTAGCTACTGATATTTGGGTCAGGATATGAGCCCTCAAGCAGAAATACCACTGAACACAGTTAGATGAGATAGGCAGCGTTCTCTGATTAATATCAGTACAGTACATCTACTCACGGCAGATCAGCAAATTTCAAGTGGCTCAGATAGGGATAGAGGTTCAAATATGAACTCGACACTTTTCTCATTTTTAGTTTGGTGACTTCATATACATTAGTCAGTAACAGATGAGTGTTTGTCACATGCATCCTTCAAAAATAAACAATTAAAGTTGTGAAGAACTACTTTTGGCTTTATTGCACATGGTGTCCCCTCAATGCCCCCTGCTCATGTTAAAGGACATCTGGACAACCTTAACAGTCCAACGTCATGGAATGAAGACACTGGTTTATAGTTCTATGGAAGTGTCCAACTGACACGGATACAGTGCAACAGAGCTATTGTAGCAGAAACAGAGAACAATTCTCTGCCAGCTACTTCACTAAGGACTGTTAATAGAGGATCTGTTGGCATGTTGCATGAGTTTGGCTTTCATTAATCCTGGACCACATACTAACATTGTTTGTGATGCAAATACACAGTTTTGGGGTAAATATGGTTGCTAAATGGTCAAGGAAGTATAAAACACCCAATGATTTTGTAATGACACCAAACAGTCAAATACCGCTGTCGAACAGGGCATTTTCTACAAGATAACCGATCATTTCTAGGAAGTGTGATGCCATCCTCTAATGTCAGGTTTTCCCTTTGACTCCAGCCAGTCTCAATGTGCTCCGATCAGGATTTCTGAGGCCGATCACATAAAGCAGTATCTGCCGATACCGATCACCGATACCGATCTTTTTAAAGCCTTCTTTTTATAATTTATAACTATTTATAGTGATACTCCAATCAGGAATTTTAGACATTTATTCAGGGCCTGAATTTCATTTTTGAAAAAGGGGGGAATTCCCCTCTTAGGTGTCTCTTGTGAGAGGAGAAGCAGCTTTCACACAGGAGTCCGCTACTGATCTGAGGCTGTTTACCACAAACACAACATTTATCCATTATTTTGATTTCAAATCCAAACATTGTCACTGAAAATGCTTTTTCAGCATTGCAATTCTTTTTTTACACAGTACAGTAATACAATCTTTCACAGACATGTTTAAACACAATAAATATAAGTAACACATTATTCAATGCTTTTTACTTTTGCATTTACTTCTAGATTTATATATTAAGTTGCTCAAGCAAGTGGCAAAACATTTAAACTACTTTTCTTACATTATCACAAACTTACTATTGACAGAAATAGTCAGCTCTACTGCCTTTCCTTTTGCATTGAAATCTTTATTACAAGCAATCCTGTGGTTCATAAAGAAATTTGTTTTCCTACCTCTATGAGTGCCATCTATTATTGCCTTGTTTATTTAAAAGTGCTCTTTCCCTTTAAACCTAGCCAAAAAGCCATATGTGTTGACACGCAACCGTGTGCATTGTGCACGCTTTATTAATCCATTAACATGAGCGCGGAAAAAATATGCACCACATTCGCACTGCAGACGGAGTAATGTGAACCTGGCATTATGTGTGTGCGCTGCGAGTGTGCATGAGCGCACGGTCTCCAGGAGAGCGCGCGAGCGCTGAATGGTTAAACACTGGCAATAATTAAAAAGTAATGCAATTTATAAAATTTAGTGACGATGTGACACTGCCTCGATAGCAGAGGCGGACAGTAACTAAGTACATTTACTTGAGTATTGTACTTTAGTACACTTTTTGAGTATCAGTACTTTACTTGAGCATTATTTTTTCTGGGAACTTATAACTTTAACTTCACTACATTTGAAAGACAAATATTGTACTTTTCACTCCACTACATTTCTATCAAGGTCCTCGAAGTAGAAAGTCGTTACTATGTAGCAGCTCTGCAAGTCAGTATGTGGTTTTTTTTCTTCTCTAAAACGTGACTTTCTTTTTTTCAGACAGTTTATCAGTAATCACTCTTGTAGGGCTACATGAAGAGATTTCACAGCATTTTTTTAACACTGACCAGCTGCAAATGTGATATTTATTTACAACAATTCAATAATAATAAGTTAATATTGTGGTATATATTACACACAATATTTTCTGATTTTGCTAAATTGTGTACCTGAAAATATTACCTATAAAGCCACAGAAGAACTGTTGTGCATCTCCTAATAAAACACAAAAGGTGTTAGACTTGAAGCAGCACTGCACAGACCGTTCTGTGTGTGACATCCAAGCACCGTGAGAGCGATTAGAATTTTTTTTTACATTTTCTTTCTTATTTTCTTTTTTTTTATTTAAATTTTTTGTTTGGATGTTAAATAAGTCTTGCTTTTTTTTTGTCAAACCAGTGTTTCTGTTGTAAAGTTATCCAGCTACAGTTGTGTCGCTGGGGTTTAAAGCAGGTTTACTCTGTTTACAATTACTCTGTATTTACAGCAATTTCACTGTCCACTCTGTTCAAATGTGATTGAATGGCTACACATAAATGTGTGCACACACTGTCAGAGCTGTGTGAGATCACTACCATCCTGCTTTTGTGGGTGCTTAATACACTGACTACAAGCTAGTCAGTTTATTCAGCAGGTGTAATGTATTCTAAGTTGCTTCAGAATTATTGAAAGTATTATGTAGGCCTACGACAATAAAACATTGACATTGCATTGACATAAAAAATGAAATTTACTTTTGGTACTTAAGTACTTTTAAAAGCAAGTACTTCTGTACTTTTACTTAAGTAAAAATCTGTCTTTACAACTTTTACTTGTAATGGAGTAATATTTGACAAGCGGTATCTGTACTTTCACTCAAGTAATGGAGTTGAGTACTTTGTCCGCCTCTGCTCGATAGTGCAAGTGACCATTCCTGTGTCGACTGTGCAGCGTGCAGCTCGCTTATAGACAGACGCGATGTGTGGTGATTTGAAGACATTTACATATTTTGAGAGAGAAAGGGTGAGTGGGCGCGGTGATTCACTGACGCTGTTTGTGAAATTAAGTCTCATACAAGGTTTTCAAATTACTTTATAAGTCATTTAATTAAGAAATATGAAGGTGAGCACCTTCAGCATTATAATTATTTTACCCACGCCGGACAGAGACCGAGACAGTGCCGCTGCATGTCATGCCAAACCTCTCACAGCAGCATCATCATCAAAACAAAAACGCGTCTAGTAATAGAGCAGTCAGACAAGCAGTAGTCAATTCTAACACCGGTTTACCAGTGATGAAACGTGATAAAATTACTCTGGAGCTGAACAGCCTGAGATTTCCTGTGTAATCGGTCTAATATCGTTTATATAATCTATAATTTCCACGCGTCGCAAGCAGTGCGCGCTCAATTCAACCTGACAAAATGACACGTCGATCAGCTCTCGCCGCTACTATGTATCTGTTCAGCTGGAGAATCATGTGCATGGGAAATACGTAGCCTATAACTTATAATTGAATGGAAGCATACATTATTTTCAGTTTGTTACCTTTGCTGCCAGTTTGATTCCGTCTGGGCTGGGTTTTTGAAGCAGACTGGCATTGGAGTACTGCTCTGCGCCCTCTCCTCTTGCCATCTCGTTCTTGAAGATTTACGTTTAAAGTCGTTTACACCTATGAATCCAGTTATTGAATAAGGAAGGAAAAAATGAATTAAAAAACAACAACAACACTGCTTCTGTTTGCGTACGCCTTGTTCTTTGGAATCTACCTGTTTCTACCGATCCCAGTTTCTGCCAGCGGTAGTAGTAGCATGTGAAGACTTGGATACTCCACCCCCTTCAAAGAGGCATTATGCAACCCCCTCCTTCTTTAGCCTCGTATGATTTTTCACCCTCGTGTGAGGGGCGGGTACAGACATGAAGTCAAGCTGACGGTTCAAAATGAAATCATAAGTGAAATGCATTGAAAATTATGTTTAAGCCTAATTTTATGTGTTATAATTATGCTCTCTTATGACTAATGGAAGTCGTCGTTCATCAAAGGCTGTGCTTATACAGTGTGTGCTTTCCATTCAGCAATACATTCAGAGAAACAGGCCTAGCTGTCATTGGAGTCATGCAGGTTATGCAGGATATAAACCATGGCACGTGTAGACTGTAACTTTGCTGTTTACTCACACACATATTGGGGGGCGTCCACCAACATGACTTGAAAATATACACACCATAGTGTTTGAGTTCAGGTTCAATGTGTGTCAACAGAAGATAAGATAACAGGCTGTTGGGCTGAGTCGTTTGTAGTGTTACATTTGTTTGGGAAGGCATTAAGGCTCATCTTGAGAGCAGAAGGTAATTCGGTGCTGTACGTATTTCTATTTGTTCCAATTAGGTTTTGATTGACTTTGCTTTTGCATCTAACCAGAAAGTGACATAAAATAAAACACATCTAATTTGAGGTTCTTTGGACACACCCGACTGATATATCATGACCTTTTGATCTACTGCCCAAAAAGGAGTTTATTTATAACTAATTACATTTTTGATTCATATTCAACATTTCAAAAAGTGCATTCACGTGCAGTTGTGAATAGATAAGTGTAAAATAAATAAATAAATAAAAAGTAAAAAATGGTAAAACAACAGTCCCTTTAGTTAATGTTAGCTGCAACTAACAGTGCGTTTGTTGCAGTTGCCTATTAATCTTTTTTTAATGTTAGTTAGAGTAGTAAAAAATATTGCTTAAAAACATTGTTCGTTGCAGTTAATGTCCTTTAAATAATACAAACTTTTGATTGTAATGTATTTGTAAATATTGAAATTAACTAAATTAACTAAAATGTGAAAAAAACACACACTGTAAATATTTTTCATTGTCAGCTAATGTTTGCTGAAATGATAGTAATGCTGAATTAAACATTAACTAAGATTAATAAATGCTTTAAAAATATTTTCCTTGTTAGTCATGTTAACTAATGTAGTTCACAATGTTAACAAATGGAATTGTAAAGTGTTATAATGTTTTCCAACAAAAATAGATTCATAATGTTAACCAAGCTGAAGTTGATTTGCTAATATTTCCTTCAAATAAATATAATCTTAATATGATGGAGGCTTTAGTTGATATTGCATGTCTGTTTATGAGGTGTTTTAGTTTGCCGTTGAAAGACTGATTCTTATTTACTTGTCTGGGACGAGATGACAAATTTCAAAGTATGTCCAGAGATCATTTTGCTCTTGTTTGCACAACCGCATCGAGCAAATGCCATGAAACAGGTTTGTTATTGTTATTTCACATGAGGGGCCTTGATGTTTTACTGCTTGCCTGTACCTCATGACATAGTCACCATATTTATTCGTTGCAAAACATTATTTTCAGAGTTGCATGACCAGAATCCCTGATATTAGTCCTGACCTTGACTCAGTCCTGCATTCACTTTCTGTTACAGAATCAAGCAACAATGGCCTTTTGTAGCTTAATTTTATAATCACAGCAAAGTTTCATGATTTCAAGTCAGTGGATCAGTGGCCTATCCTTGATCATTATCCCACTGCTTTTATATTGGGAGGGGTCATTCATGAATGAAAACTCTCTAGGTTTCTCTTCTGTAAGTCAGTGACAGATACTCATATGCTTTCATCAGCTCACATGAGTATGTTGTCTAACACAGGACACGGGTGTATAATGGCACTGATGATCAGTGTGACTGCTGTTCTGCACTATACATAGGCACAGGTGTTGTGGAAAGTCACAAGCGAGGGGGTGGGATTTATATGTGTGTGTGTACAGTATGTGAGAAGAATTGTTCCCATTGTGGCAACAGCTTTGAAGCACATTCTGTACCATTGTAAGTCCTGCTTATCAGGTTCACAGCGTATGAATTTATTTTGAATTAAAACAAGATGTAATATACCAGTCACAATACCAGACTGTTTAACCATTTGAACTAAAGACTTATTTTAATTGATTTGACTTTGATATTGACTGGAAGAACAGGCTTAACACTCACTACTGCTTAAAAATGAGTTTTAAAGACCAATTTAAACGGTGCCTATCTATCTATCTATCTATCTATCTATCTATCTATCTATCTATCTATCTATCTATCTATCTATCTATCTATCTATCTATCTATCTATCTATCTATCTGTCTGTGTCCATTTCTTTTTTCTTTTTCTTTCTTTATTTATTTTTAATTGACTGGAGGAAAAGCAACAAACAAGACACACATGTCAACTCCAAGATTGTTGGCTCATGAAGTTAATAAATAGGAAGTTGATAAAATGCCAAGATGTACAGAGCAGTAATCTAGGCAAAGTTTAGCTGCTATTTTACAGAACTATTTAGGAATCTAAAATATAAGGAAGTTTTTTTATTCATGATGATGATACATAATTCAAATGCTTTAATGTATGCTATTTTTTGATAGTTTTAAAGATTTTACAATAATTTTTAAATGTGAAAATGCTGTATTGACTCATTAGGTGTGTCCAAAGTTTTGACTGGTACTTTTTAGAGACAAAAAAAAGTATTGCGGTAATCTTTAATTGTCCAAGCAGACAAATGAAGTTTCCTGCTAGGATAATAATAATAATAATAATAATATTATAAATGTTGTTATAAATATACAGTGATGGCACAAAACAAGTGCAATGTTCTATACCTAGTCAAAAAAATAAATTTCCAAAAGTATTTAGCAAATATTTTGAAATGAATGTGCATTTTAATGAAATGAATAAAACACCCTTTCTGAATTCTTTATACTAAACAAAGTACATTTGTCTAGTTCCTCCATATAATTGGACATGGGTGTATTTAAGCTATCTGTGAAAGTAGTTTTCCTCTGTGCCTTTATTTTGACTAAAACCCGCTGCCATAATGGTTGGTTAAGAGTAGTTCAGTGGTTCCCAGGACAGAGAAAGTGAAACATAAATAAAAGACATTTGATAGTAAGACTCAAGCAAGATCCAGTCCTACCAGAAACACAAGTGAAGTCTGCAAGTCAACACATGAGATCCATTTCACAAATAAAGTACACCTAGCATCCACTGTACCTAAGCAAGGTTTTTTGAATGACTCACGAAGATAAACCGGATAACAAAAAGAAATGTTCTTTTGTGTTGCAAAATGCATACTTTATATGTTACTTTTTGAATAAAAATTATGCAATTCTTGCTGACAGATGCAATTAAATGACAGGTGCAATGCTGTGCACTCTTCTTATGTCAGTCCATGCACCTGCCTGAGGCCCTCATGCTTATGCTAAAATTACATTTCAGTTTTGCCCACTTGAAACATTTTGCCCACTTGAAACTTCCACTTGGATGTGAACTGCAAAAAAAAACAAAAAAAACAACAACAACAAAAAGAATACGCCCACTGGAGGTTTAACACTCCATGTACACACACTATTAAACAATCTCTGCTGATAGTTTCAAAGTCCAGTAAAACTGTCTATGTGGCTCTGGGTCAGAAATACAAAATGTTGGGCCATGCTGGTTCTGTTTATTCTAAGAAATAGCATGACCTCAGACAGTTTGAGATGGGCATGTACTGTAATACCTCTTGCCATGTTGTGAGTGACACGTCGTGGTTTAGAGATCTTTTCCATGTGGGATGGTGCAATGCACTGCTATCTTAAAGAATGATATTTGTTAAGATAAAAACCTCATATTACAGTAATACCTGTTTTGGGCATGAATTAGTTTTTTGTTGTTGTTGTTGTTTATTAGCTTTAGTTTTGTTTATATATATATATATATATGTATATGTGTGTGTGTGTGTGTTAAAATATATAAATAAATTCATTAAAAATAATATTAAAATAAACACACATATAAATAAATAAATATATATTATAAATAAATATTATATCATTTTATATAATATATTAAATAAATATTATATTAAATAAATTAAGTTTTATATTATTTTTATTATTATTATTATTGTTGTTGTTGTTGTTGTTGTTGTCCTTAATTTTCGACAAACACATAAAACAAAATAAACATACACAAACCACCACAAACATCAAAAAATAAAATTATTATTATTTATATGTAAATACTGAAGTACAAAAAGATAAATACATAAAAAACGTACATAGAATATCTTTAATATATCCCCCCCACTCCCTTTTTTAGCTTCATTATGAATGATGATGTCAGAAAGCTCGTTATGAGGATGAAGTATAGTGACTCCTTCCAAAACAACAGTATCTCACAACTGCATGTACCATGTATCATGTGGGGTCATAAAGCAAACCAATCATTCCTCTCTCTGTTTTAGGAACAGCTCCATCACACCCCTATTAGGATACTCAATGTCCAACTGACAGCTTCCTGTCTATTTTAACTCTGCAGTGTTCAGACATGCCATTGACATTCATAGCAGCTCTTTGCCTCCGTCATGAATTTTCCATTCTGACCCCGAGAGTGTTTAAAGGTGTCAGGGACAGCACCAAATGCTGACTTGCATGTAACTTTGTTGTTATTTTCACACTTGGGTCCACCATTAACAAGCTGTTGTGTGTGTGTGTGTGTCTTGGGGTACAGTACATGGGTACATCCAATGAGTCATCCAAGTTATAGCTTTGCCCTGATTCCACAGACAAGATCCACTCTGCACTTTACTCATAATGCGAGATCCTCGTTGGGCAGACTAATGTACAAGCATCACATCAATTTTAAAATTCATGCAGCTCATTTTGAATTTACATTCAGACCATGTTGTGGAAATCAATAAACTCTCTTGACTTTCAAAACAGCACATGATCTGCCAGTGTTTGTTGCCATTTAATTGCTTAAGAGGTCAAGACTGAAAATGCA